ACTTCATAATAGCAAAAAACATGCCTCACAGATCTTACACAAACACAGTTTCAGCTTTTCAAGTACAAGAAAAGAAATGAGACACTGTTTAGTCTGCTGAAAGTGAAACAAAAATTATTTACTATTCAGTTTTGGGCTGAACTGCTCAGTCCAATGGTGAATTTCTAACTTGATATTGGCTTGGGTTATAAAGTGAATTTATTATTTATTTCACACTCCTTGCACACACTGCTCCCTGCACACATTTACAAGTAAATAATGCATATATGTGCACTGAAACACACTTCCTATAAAAAAGCATAAAATTGAGTCTCATTAAAAACAACAACAACAACAACAACTTTGATACTGCCAAGCTTTCCTAATATTGCATTGATGAATTTTGTTAATAAGGAATTTTATTAAACCATTGTTTCTGGAAATGAATTGTACAGAGTGAATGCCCCCATTTGCTTCTTTACTATTATGCGGGTGCATCTACATTGTAGAAATAATGCAGTTTGACTCCTCTTTACATGCTGTAGCTTCATCCTATAGAATTTTAGGATTTGTGATTTTACAAGGTGTTCAGCCTTCTTGGCCAAAGTGTTGCTGCCTCACAAAACTACAAATAGGATGGAGTCATGGAAGTTAAAATGTTGCCAAACTGCATTATTTATACAGTGTAGATGCACTTTTATCTTTCTAGAGACAGCATGAATTATTTTAATAGAGGGATTCGGAAGAGACATAAGGAACTAAGTATAATTTTAATAATCTGTTAAAATGATTGCTTCTAAAATTCAAGAAATCCTTCTGAAAGCAGAAGAGGTACAGAACTATTCATGTAAATAAAGTACATTGCTCTGTCCCCTGGCTGTTTATCTCCTAGAGAGTTTTGTTTCCATAACTAGAACTGGAGTTTTTTTACACTGGACTCTGATGGTCTGTCTATCAGATATCTACAATCAGATGAAATTAGGACCATTATTTAATGTATTATAACCTAATATTCGTATTTTGAAAATATATCACACATATTAATATATTTTATTTATTTAATCATATTTATTGTCCTAAGTTAAACAATATTTATGATGCTATATGTGTCCTTGAAATAGGGACACTATGCTATGAAAAAGTGGCCTAACGGCTGGAGTTCATAAATTTTGCTCAGCTTTGGATGAGTTCAAAGAATTGCCATGTAAGAAAAGCCTTACAGAGGGAATTTATCTGATTATGGTAGTAATAATTACCCAGCTGTTTATTGCAGATAGAGAAATAATTCATGTAGGCAATAGGCCGTGGTGGCAATGACACTCCACATTTAGTAAATATGCAAACTGTTCACTTCTAATTAACCAAGCTAGAGGATGCCCTTATTAAATGTATAAACTAAAAGTGCCTTCCTGACAAGTGATGAATTGTTACATTGCACAAACTCTTGCCACAGAATTATTGGAGTGAACTTGGGGCTTAACTTCATTAAGAGATCTTGTGGGATAGTTAAATGAGGATGGACAGCATAACAAGGCCAACCTGACAGCCAATGATATGTTAGGGCTTAATGAAATTGCACCTTTTCCTTATTTTTTACTCACTTTATAGTTAAGATCCCACATTAGATAAAGTGGATGACTGTGAAATCTGCTGCAGATGAGACTAAACAAAGGTAAAATATGCACCAAGGTTCGGAATTTAACAACAGGTCAATGTACAAAATTGGGGTTGGGAATCTCTGGTCCTCCAGAAACTGTGGGATACCACAGCGACATTGTCCCTTACCACTTGCTATGTGGCTTCATGGGAGATGCAATCCAATATACAGTCCCCATCCCTGCTAGAGAAGGTATTATAGTTGATAAGTAATCTTAACTCTTGTGCAACAGGAGGGGGCATTTTAGTTCTGTTAAGATTCATATTGTAGAATCTGCAAAAAAAAGAGTTCTTCCATGCAGTATTGTCACCTGCAAAACAATACAATGCAGTATCATCACCTGCATATCACTGTTCCCAAATTTTTGCCATTTGCTATATATAATTTAGTTTCTACAAAAAACAAAAATAAAATCTATCCCAATAGATTTAATGCTTTTCACTACTGTCCCCCCAGCAGTGTATTAAAAAAATCATCCAGTGGTCAGTAGGTTGGCTCATTTTGAGGAAACTGAAATTTCTTCCATTAGGGACACATTGCAATCGTCATAGGGGAGGTTAAACCCTAATGCTAATCTCCACCTTAAGGCCAATCATAACCTTCAACCTAACCTTCAAACCATTAAAATTTACATTGGGATAAAAAAATACCAATAATTCAAAGAATGTAATTGGGGTGAGGGGGGGAGAAGCGCCTTCTGTGTAAGGATTAATAAAATATGTTTCTATATACAAAATGCCCATAAATTGTTGTTGTGTGCCTTCAAATCATTTCTGACTTATGGTGACCCTAAGCTGAACCTGTCAGTGGGTTTCCTTGGCAGAATTCCTTCACAGGGGATTTGCTCTTGCCCTCCCCTGAAGCTGAGAGTGAGTGACTTGCCCAAGGGGGCTCCCATGGCCAAGCAGGGGTTTCAAACCCTGATCTCCCAGTGTCCTAGTTCAACATTCAAACTACTACATCATGCTGGCTAAATTACTCATAAATTACTTCCTCATTATTCTAAAACTGCTTCAAGTTTCATTCATCCCTTACAGTGAAATTGTTTGATTAAGATTTTGGTATTAGGAAATCAGTTGTCCTGTAATTTTTTTGTTATTTTTTATTTTTTTGCTTTTGGCTCTTTGTGAAAAAGCATGTTCTAAATTGGCCAGCAGTTCAGATTGTATTAAGAAGGTAACAGGTAGCTCATGCTGAAGCCAAGGAATTGCAGTAACATATTCCCCCTTTTCTGTCCAGAAGGAATGTCCAAACAGTGATCAAAAGCAGTCATCAAGGGTATGTGAACAACCTATTCCCCATATTAAGAAGATCGTATGACAGCAAGAATAGTTAGAGAGCCACGCAGTTTTAAACTGCCTGAATTGGTGAAAGGAATTTCTGGCCATGATAAAATCTATTGCCAGTAAGCATAGGAATGAAATTACTGTCAGTGCAAAGTAAAAACTTGCTTAACAACTTGTTTCTCACACTCTCATACATGGGAATCTACTCCCTGCCCTTCCAAGTCAATCATCTCATTACTCCAGATTCAAACTCTTACTTTCAGTAGGTGTTTTGGTTTTTCTCACTTCCAATCATCTTTGACTCATTAAAACAACACCTCTTGAAGAAACTACCAACGTTTATGGAGGTTGTCATATCCAGAAGTTTATGGATCTGAAATTATAAGGCATATAAGGGAATGGGGATAAATGATATAGTGAAATAGTGCTATGGGGGAATAAAGAGAAATCGAAAAGGGAGGGGGGGACAGTAATCTGAAGGAATGCAAACAGGGACTAGATGGGCAATGGCTGGAGAGGGTGGCAGTCTGTGGCTTTGTTTACTTCCTAAGGAAAAACTTTTATGCCCACCAAGGCAACACCTTCTTTCCTGTGATAGATGGATTGATACGGGAGATGGGGGAGGAAAAGCAGCAAGTTTAAAGAGACTTTTGATGTAGTCGAAAGCGCAGGGACCATGGGCTAGGGAAAGGAGGGACTGGGAGAGAACTCTTAAAGGCTGGATGGTTTGGGGGGGGAAATCAGATTTGACAATACCATGTCTCTGGCAAACATCTGTCCGGAAATTATTATTATTATTATTATTATCCTGCCCTTCTGCAAAGCTTTAGTTAATCTACACTATCATGCTGTCTTGGTTTCTGAGCTCTGGGTTCGCTAAACATGACAATTGTTTACTGAGCTACTCAGTATTGTATGTGTCCTGGTCCAAGAGCTCTCCTTAGAAACAAAAAGAGAGAATGAAAAATTGCTTTCTGTGACTGGTAAGCAATATCAGAGTCCTATTTTGATTTAGTTAGGTTAATAAAACAAGACAGATCTTCCACCATTTGTTTGGTCAACAGTTTGCTTGTTTGGTGACTCACTTTCCATTCCAGCTAAACCTCATATTCCAGCTCGTATCTTCAAGTTCTAGTAGCAGACAGACTCATACGTGTCAACCATCCAGGTCTTAAAATATATCTTTCCACACAATCAGGTAGATTATATACCATTTCAAATTCCCAAGCTATTTCTGAATTGTCCCAAATATTTGATGCTCTTAGACCACCAAGGAAATGCAATAGCCATTTTATACTGCAGGCACTTAAGTTCCTCTCCTGATGGAAATTAAATGGCTGAACCATAAATACCCCATAAATAATTTCTGCATAAAGTCTCAGGCACATGATAGTTTAGACACAAAATGGGGAAACCATGAATAGAAACAGAAACTGACATTCTTTGCGTTTTCTTGTGAATTTATCACTGCTAAAAGTAGAATATAAATTAAGAAAATAAAATAGAATAAAATAAGTGCACTGTCAAAGGGATTTTGTTATTTGAGGAAAATGGTCAGATGGTCAGAACTATTTAAGCATGTGAGTTTGTTCCTAGATCGCAAAAGCTTTTTCATCTAATGGGAGGTTTTATTAAAGGTTTGGCAGAATAGCTTTTTAAAAAATTAACTACTCATTTGGGAATTAAGTTACAGTTAGACAGAAGCTCCTGTTAAAATGTAGAACAATTTATTCATAAAGATTACAGCATGACAATATATCCTAGACTTTGGAACGAACAGGGATTCGTCTCTGTACAGACTTCTCCCTTTAGGAGCAGAAAGAAAGGGTAGAACTACACAGTATCTTGGTAAGTGTGGGCTCCCAAATGCACTTTCCACATAATCCTGAATACAGGAATCATGGCTGATCCATAGTACAGAATAAGCTGGTGGATGAGAGTACTTAACCTTTACTTTATTCATTGATTGTTGTCGTTGCATGCCTTCAAGTTGTTTCGGACTTATGTTTAAAACTAATGCAAACCTATCATGGGATTTTCTGTGGCTGAGAGTGTGTGACTCATCCAGTGGATTCCCATGGCTAAGTGGAGAATCAAACCCCGGTCTCCAGAGTCATAGTCCAACACTCAAACCACTATACCACACTGGCACTGATACTTTCCTTTAAATGCCTTCATAATTGTTTCTCCCCCAATTATGTTTATTCCCGCTTCAGAGGTCATCTTGAGAGAGAAAAAGAAAATGTTGGGTAGATTTGCAGAGAAGAACTGGCAACTGAAGGAACAGATAAGCATCTTCTTACCAGTTCACCCTGCAAACTTCCTGGTTCTTGTACTAGCATTGCAAAGAAAACTTAGTTGGGAATCGCATGTTGGTTTCATAACTTATAGTTTTAACCAAAGGGTCTCTCATGAAACCTATTTCAAATGAAGTTTAAAGCCATGAGCCATAGCAGAGAGGTTGTGGATAACACATTCTAATGAACTCAATCTATTCCTGGAATTAGCTCATTTTCTGAGTTGATTGCATGATACCTTTAATGCCACAAAACATTAAGTAACAGTTAAAGTCAATGTATATCTGAAACATTAAAAGTAGGAACAAAATTGACTGTATTGTAAGTTTTCCTATTATAAGCTTTATAATGTTTTATTAATGCTGCCAATCTATATCACTAAGCCAGTTTTTAATTTCATGAAATCATTTTCTTGTTCATAACCTGAGGCAATTTTTATATATAGAGCTATAGGTTACAACTGTACACAATCAGCAAGTGCACAGTCAGCTCTTAAATTAATCAGCCCAATTTATCTTTGTAAGAATAGCAAAGTCTCATTGTGAAAACTTAATCTTACATATGTATTTACATACATACAATGACACAGAGGGCCATCTAAACACCACATAGCTGGCAGATTGCAAGGGCTAGTGAATCAGAATGGTATGTGGAAAACACTTTATTTCTAAGTGTATTTTGACTGGTTGTATTAATAATGAAAACAAAGCATGCATCTTACTGATATTGTTGAGTGAATCAACATAAAAGTTTTTCTACATTCAACCATGCATCCTGCTGATATTACACAGTATATCAATACAAATCATGCTATTTTGACACAGATTTTATTTCCAAAAGGCTAAAGTATCTTCAAGCATTGCTTAAAAGTAAAGAATTGACATCATCTAAGGAGGGACAGGAAAACAATATGTAGCAAAGTTTAATTTGCAGAGGTCCTTGAAGGAAATAAAGCCCAAGAATGAAAAAGAATGGATTTCACAAATGGATCTGAATTCACTGGCTAAATATTCCAAGAAGAGATGGGGTCTAAAACAATCTTGGGGTAGGACAAGGCAGGTTGCTTTAGCACATGTCATCCAATGGTGCCCATACACTTCTCTTCTATGTCCAAGCAATTCATTTGTCTTGGTGAATTGTTTCAGCAAGGCACTGCTGAAACAGGTACTAAAAAATTATCCTGACCTAGTAAACCTGCCTTGTCTCATTTCCATTATTTGTTTACAGTCAGCTCTTCTTATCTGTGGGCTTGCCACCTGCAAATCAGAGCATCCATAGAAGGCACTGACCTGTTCTCCTCAATGGGGGCACCTGTACACAGCTGCACCAACAGGACTTGAGGTCCCATGGAATTTGCCATCTGCAGGGTGTGTGAAATGGAAGTCACGCAGATACAAAGGGCTGACTGTATTAATGAATATTTATAGGCCACTTACATATGAAGACTACAAATTGATGCACAATATTAATCAAATATGCACTACAGAAAATCAAATTTCAACATTTGGGCCCCATTAGCACAGGTCAAATACAAGGTCCTCTTGCTGTCCTCTTGGTGGAGAGTCCAGACAACATATGGCCAAACCCCCAGTTCTGGTGTGAACACTTCAAACAGCTTCTGGCCAGTTCAGCACTGAACCTGGAAGATCCAGAGCCTCCTGTTGTGATGCTGGCAGCTGTTTAAAATGCATCCCACTACGTTGCCTGATGCGGCTGCTGCTTTAGTAATTCACTTGCTCTGAGATCAGAACAAGTTACCCAGCCTTGTGATTGATGCTGGGCAACTTGTTCCAACCTCAGAGTGAATGAGTTGCCACAGTGATGCCAGTGCCAAGCAGCACAGTGGGATACGAATGCAAAGAGCCATCTGACATTGCAATGGAGAGCCATAGGTAATGGGGGAACACCAGGGTAGCTCCAGGGCCAGAACACTCTAGGCTGCTCCTAGAGTATTCTGACCACCTTAGACGATATGGTAAATCTGAACAATTGGGAAGGTTCACAAAAACAGGGAAGATTTCAATATGAGCCTAAAATCATTATAGATGCATTGCTCATTTCTTTATTTCTTTTACTTTATTTTGATTTTCTCCTAGGACTGGGCTATCCTCCAGTACATCTGATACCATCTGGTCTCAGAGGGAGAGAGGCAGATCTAGCTCCATTAGGCCTAGCCTAGAGTAAGAAGGAGAGCTTTCCCTCCAGTCCATCTCCCATGGTCCAGGCCTCAGAGGGAGAGAAGAACTGCTGGACCTGATCCCCTTCCCCACTGCCATTCCCTTCTCATTTTGTGTTGTGTCTTTTTAGATTGCAAGCATGAGGGCAAGGAAATGTATAATTAACCATTTGTAAGCCACTCTGAGAGCCTTTGTGGCTGAAGAGCTAGGTATAAATACTCCAAATAGACAGATAGATAGACAGACAGACAGACAGATAGAGGGGTATAGTTTATGGCCTCGCAATAGACTAAAGCAAATACACATAAACACAGTGCATGACTGATAATGTACTTTCCCTGAGAAACAGAATTTACAAACAGACTACAAGGGCAGGTGAACCTTCAGTACTACAAAATTATTTTACTATTTTACACATTAAAAATGCTAAGTATTTTCTTCTATAAAAATGCAATAAGATAAATTCTGTATTATTGAATGTATTTCATTTCTGAATTCAGTCCAGCAGATTCAGTGGAAACAAACCTGCATCACACACTTGGGTAGAAAGATCATAATTTGGCACCACATGCTTAGGCAGAAGTAAAAAGGACTACTTTATATAGTGGATAATGGAGGCAATTCTTTCCATGAAGAAATAATTTAATTAGCTCCATAAACTATTTAGAAATAAAAAAAGAAATTTAAAGTTCTACCACTCAGTACTTTTATCTTTACCTGACCATCTCATTATTCAAAGCAATAGCTTCCAGGTACTTCTTCAGTGCATAATAATTATGGATATATTTTCGGATGTAATAGCCTCGCCATCTTTTTTGAATCTAGGAAAGAAAAAGCACATATATTTGCTTGAATATTTTTCCTGCAACAGAAACATCTAGTGAGGGGTGAGAATGCTTTCTTAATAGGAATGCTGCTTGTCCAATAACATAGATGTGAGGTAAATAATACCTTTGAAAGTTTTATCAACCAAGAAATCAAAATGAATATATCTAGTGAGTATAAACTGACAATTATTTTTATAAGATATTTTAAAAGAGGTTTTCTCTTAGAATGATATCTATTCTTCTAATAAAGATAGGCTATCTGCTATTGCCAATAGCTTTCAAACAAATCCAAAGCATTATTATAATCAAGTCAAAGCATAATTAATGAAATTAGTCACATATAATGGTTTTCCTGAAACTGATATCCTTCAGATATTTTGGGCTGTAACTGCCATCAGCCCCAGCCAGGAAGGCCAGTAACTGTTATGGCAGCTGTAGTCCAAACCATCTGGTGGTCATTAGACTGGATGGGTAGCATATAAAATAAGATTACATATAACTGTTGGGGTATGCAGACAGGCAGGATCTAGCATACACACATGCAGAGTTGCTGCATGTAGGCAGGAGCGCCCAGAAGATGATCTTCTGTGAAGAATCTTGCTCTAGAAAGCACAGGAAAAATCCTCTCACATACAAGCTGCTGCTTTCAGCTTGGAGAAATGAATCGCTGGACAGTGAGCCTTCACTCAGTGAGGGCTTTAATCTTTGTTGCAAATATTTAGAAAGATACATAGAGTACCAGATGTCCGTCTTGAAAACTCACAGCTATACAGACCAACAAAGTGCTTCGCCAACCACCAACCACAACTAACCAACAATGGAGATTCTGACCCTCTCCCATATATAGGTGGTCTTCTTGGTAACATGTGACAGCCATGCACTAATCAAACCTGGCTGGTTTCATCCCCAGTGCCTGTTGCATCAGACCTCCCATGATGCACAGCTTTCCAAATACTGACTCATGGACCTGCCACTTGAACTGTAATAACAATAACAATAACAATTACTATGATTATCCCACCCCTCTGCAGATGCAACCAGGTGGCTGACGGCATTTAAAACATAATAAAAAATACAATATAAATCCCATAAGCCCACCCACTCCTTAAAATAGTATTAAACAATAGAACTATTAAAACATGCTAAAAGAAGTAACAATAACACAAACAACAATAGTAATAAGTAGAGCAAAGATTGCCGGAAGGAGATGGGCTGACTCTTGGGATCTAAGAGATCCATCTTAACATCCTTTTTAAATAATAATAATA